CTATGCCTTTTCTTCAAGTTATGTTTTTCTTCTTTAGTCTTTAGGATGGAGGCCAAACCTCAAAAGGATGAGCTAGCAGCATTGCCACGTGAGCCTGCTACATTTTGCTTCAGTAGGAGTAGGGCATCATACTTGTGCTTATTGTTTGAGCTGCCTCCTTCCCATGAGATTTGCTGATATGAACAGTATCCAAAGGACATTCAGTCATGCCCACACCACCCACATCCAGTGACTTCTTCCAATTATCTTTCGGAAAAAAATTTGATGCCCGGCAGAAGAAGTATTACTGGTCTCTCAGGATGATTGAAAAAACAAACATGGCATGTATTAGATTTACATTCTGAGTGACCTTCTGAGAGTGTAATGTGGATTCTCAGCAGCTGTCCAGGTTATGTTGATGGTCATACTTTTGTCATGTGATGACACACGTCCTCAGATAATAAGGTCATGTCCTAAATTGTGATTCAACCACCACAACAAATCCTGAGATCGAAAAACCTTTAGGAAAATCTGTATATGCCCAGCAACATCATTCAGCTGTTTGCTCACGTATCCATTGTTGCAGATGAAAGCTCTTAGTAGCTTCATGTGAGAGGACATTGCCTCAACGGATGTTGTCATCCATACTTTTAGCTGAGAAACATTAGTCTTCCATTTCTACACAGTTTTCATTCTTTATGCTACATTCCGCTCCATTTTTATTACGTCTACTCTTTCAAAAAGAGTAAAGTTCTCTTGTATCTTGGAAACTTAGCACGCTATACAATATTCTTTGGTAGGAAGAACTGTCACTTAGAAGAAATAAATTGTCCATTTTGAATTATAATTATAGCACTTCTTTTCTTTATCAGGTTTTGGCTGTCAAAAAGATTGATTCTTCACTTTTCCAAGGCAGGAGGGGTGATGAATTTTCAGAAATTGTTGCAAAAATCTCAACGCTTCACCATCCAAACATTGCAGAACTTGTTGGTTATTGTTCTGAGCAGCGGCATAACATGCTGATCTATGAATATTTTAGGAATGGCTCCCTTCATGAGTTTTTACACTTGTCAGATGATTACAGCAAACCATTGACTTGGAATACTAGAGTCAGAATTGCTTTAGGCACAGCGCGAGCTGTAGAGTAAGTTCTATACCAACAGTATCATCCGGAAGCCATTAGTAGTGTCAAGCTATTTCCAATCTTTTGTAGCTATTAATTCTTAACATTTCTGGTTCCTTCACCGTTGTGAAAACAAATGACAGTTGACAAAGTGGCTGGAATTGTTTCTAGTTAAAGTCCTGTTTTATGTCTCTTACTATTTCTCATGCAGGTACCTCCATGAGGTTTGCTCTCCCTCTGTAGTGCACAAGAACATAAAATCATCTAATATTTTGCTTGATGTTGAACTTAATCCACGACTCACCGATTGTGGTTTGGCTACCTTCCATCAGGTTATGTATTGAAGCAAACTCTCTCCCTCTCTCTCTTTACATTGGACATGTGAACTTGTTTGCATCACCTCCTATAACTTTGTGAACATATACATCGCTATCACTATGGGGCTGTGCCATCAACAACATACAACTTTTGTCAAGCAACACTAAACCTGACAATAGCTACCATCTCTGTCCCTCAGTCTACCTCTGGCTGCTTCTTGAGCTTTAACAGCAATTTATTCCTTTTCCAGCGGACAAGTCAAAATCTCGGAGTTGGATACAATGCTCCAGAATGTACAAAGCCCTCAGCTTATACTCTGAAGAGTGATGTTTACAGTTTTGGAGTTGTCATGTTGGAGTTGCTGACTGGTCGAATGCCTCTTGACAGGTAACTTCAGTAGTTCTTGTAAGTGTTTAAAGAGATTTGAAATGGTGAAGGCAGTGTATTAAATCCATCCAGTCTGACTGCCCTACTATCCATGTATCAGTTCGAAACCAAGATCAGAACAATGTCTAGTGCGATGGGCTACTCCACAGCTTCATGACATCGATGCTTTAGGCAGAATGGTGGATCCAGCACTGCGCGGACTGTATCCTCCCAAGTCAGTCTCCAGATTTGCCGATATTATTGCTCTCTGTGTTCAGGTAATACTCCTCTGTCTGCAGTCTGCCCCTCAATGAGGGAACAGAACTACTAACTAGAACTTAAAGGTAGGTCATAGAATGAGTACGAGAGAAGTAATATGGCACAAATAAATTTAGACTTGAGGAACATGTCTAGGTCTATGTCTCGCGTGCAATTTAACTCGCCATTAAGTTTCTTCTTGCTGTTGAGCCGTGGAGTGTTGAAGACTAACTAGGATATTTTACCTTGTTTCTCTCTTTCGTATCTGGTGGAGAGGCCTCTAACTGTCTGCATTTTGTTTTAGTCGGAGCCTGAATTCCGACCTCCCATGTCAGAAGTGGTGGAGGCATTAGTGCGATTAGTTCAGCGCTCTAGTATGAACAAGAGGGGGGAGAGTCCAGGTGCATCTCGTCGTATGGATGACTTCGACTATTGATTGTTCGTCCTTACGCAACGGAGAGGAGAGATCGTTGTACTTCAATTCAACTTTTGATTTGTTTTTATGTTTATGTCTGCCCATCAAATGACTTTGTGTGCGAAGAGTAGTCTCTGCCAGTCACTTTCCTAGTGGAAAAAAGCATAGAACTCAAAGATAGCAGGAATGCTACGAGGGTTCAGCATTCATTGGGAAAGAAGCTTATGTAAATACATCAGAAATGACATCAGAAGAAGACACATCGCCGCGGAAGATTACCATATAGGCAAGAGATGATTCAAGAATCCAGGGAGAGGACCGAGTTTCGACATTTTGGTTTTGATGGTGATGGTTTAAGGTTGGCGAGATGCAGGGCGAATGCGAAGAGCCTGCAGTCTCACAACTGGAGCTAGGCATAGCATTTGGGACAGGGTTGTAGTTTGAACTTGAGCAAAGTGTCTCCACAAAAGTAGGTATGTAAATTGAATGGACGACTTGAAGTTGCTAAATGTGAATTGACAGCGTCAATGACAGTGAAGTTACTTGCGAGCATGAGCACCATACTGATCACGAGATGCTGCCACACAGTCAAAGGCAGCCACTCTACTGACCATCCTCTTTACCATCTGATAAACTTGATGCAGAAGAGAAAATGATAGTCACCAACGGTTATTGTGTATTGTTTTAAGTTACAAACCATTTCACTAATTTACTGACATTTTTTCATGCAGCATATTAATGTGTTAAAGTCATTTACTATTATAGAAAATTGCTTACTCAGTTCACTTACCAGCAACAATTGTTTCAAAATTACCAACTATTGCCAAAACTTACCGACATTTATTTGCTCTTATACGAAATTGTCAGTCTTGATTGGGGTGATTTACCACCAGCTTTTCCTGGGTTAAGTTACCAACGAGTTTTACCTGTATTAACTTCTATTTGAGTGAGTCATTAACATTTATTTGATTGTTTCGAAATTACAAATGATTTTAATAAATCGCCGATATTTATTTACGGAGCTTATCAATGTGTTAAATTTGCTAAACTCTTGCAGGGAATCGCCATATTTTATTTGAGTATGTTTACCAATATTTATTTGATTGTTTCTAATTACAATCGCTCCAATATTTTACCAACATGGATTTGTTAAAGATACCAAGATGTTCAATTTACTAACTCCTATAGAAAATTATCAACATTTATTTCAGTTACTATCAACATTTGTTTGATTGTTTCGAAAATACCAATTATTCCGAAAATTTACCAACATTTATTAGATTGTTTTGGAAATCAATAACTGATAATATACTAATGTTTACTTAATAAAATCATCAACGTATTAGAGTTTCTAACTCTTATACAAAATTACCAACCAGTCCAATAATTTACCAACATTTATTTGTGAAGCTTAATTAACCAACTCTTACATGAAACTACTACCTAATATTTGAGTTAGTTACAAATGCTTATTTAATTGTTCAAAAAAGTGAATGTTCAAATAATTTCTCGACATTAATCAACTCATCTTTATGGAAACTACCGACCGGCAAAGGGTTACCAATGTTTATTTGATTATTTCAAAAGTACAAACTGTTTCATATATACTGATGATGATGTGGAGAGCTTATCAATATGAAATAGACCCCCCCCCCCCCCCTTTTCAACATGACCAACTACATTTCAATAATTAACGAACATTTATTTGCGGAGCTTAAGTTACCAACTCTTACATGAAATTACCAACTCTTATTTAGATCACTTTCCAACTTTTATTAATTATTTTAAAATGTCAACTATTTCCATTAATTTATCCACATTTCGTTGGGAGCTTCCAATGTATTAAAGTTCAAATTTACAAATAAATGTTGGTAAATTATTAAGCCATTTGGAGATTTCGAAAGAATTAAATCAACGCCGCTAATTCTATCAAATAAGAGTTTATATAGTTAAAATTAGATGTTAACTTAATTGGTGAAGAGTTGATAAATCACTCAAATTAATATTGGTAAGCGAAGCGAGTAAATATTGTCAATTTGTAAATAGTCGGTAATTCAAAACAATCAAATGACTGATACTCCCAGCATATTACTGGCTATTGTTGGTATCTACTAACAAATTATATGTTAAATAAGTTGACAGCCAAAATTAGCAAACAACATATTTTGAAATTTACCAACGTTTTTAAGGATTTATTAGGAATGTGCATAGTATTCTTGTGGATGAATACTATCAACATGCATTGCAGAGCCCAGTGAGAGATTGCGAGCCGGTAAGAGGGGTTCTCATGCACAGGGAATCGTTGGGACTCGTCTCGTGTGATGTCCCTCTTTAATGCATTGTTCTCCGGGATGTTTTCATGCTTCTCGGCCGCCGACAGCAAGACACAAGGGCGGGGCGGGCCTCCGTACTGAAACGTTGGTGTATCGACAAAGTGAACATGTCCCCAATGCACCTTCTGGTTGCCCTCGATTCTCCTCCATTTGCATCTGCTGCTTGTTGCTCTAGTATTTTCGTCTCCTTACGGGAGAGGCACTGGGAATGGGTCAAGGCCAGGAAGTCGAGACTAGAAATGATTCCCAGGTCGAAATTCAGGTTCTAAACTTGCCTTGTCCTTTTCTACTGTTAATCAAGTTGGGTTGCTGGTTAGTGGGGGAGGCTGGCGAAAGAGTTGTAATTGCAGGAAAGAGCGGAGATGTACTTCTTCTATAGGCCCAAGGTGGAGAGAGAAGCAGCTCACAGCGCTGACGACGTGCAGCGCCTTTACATAGTTCTCAGTTCCCAGTCCGGCGAGAGGCCCATACGGGAGAGTCAAGATCCCCACAAGGCTACTGTCCAGTGTCCAAGGTGGCCAGAGTAGCCAGGTAAATGATGGTTTAGAAGAACCACGACCCAACTATGTCTGTGATCATCTACCTATGTCACGTGCCCTTTGTGAATGCCAAACGCAGGAAGGGAGCATCGAGAAGGGAGCGCCGTTGAGGTTCATAGTGATGGGGAAAAGAAGAGTCTTCCGGATCCAACCAAACGGAGCCTACGTTACTGGGGATTTGTGGAGATGGTCACCACCAACATCGATGATGTCAAGTCGGCTCTTAAAGCAGGTGCACTGCGTCTGCTCTGCTCTGCCTTCTCTCGCTCTCGTGCGCGCTCTCTCTCTCTCTCTCTCTGATTCAATTGCATAATCAACTTGCTTATTGCAGAGGAGTACGACAGCAGAGGAGTACGACACTTCAACGAGGGGACACCGCCACATGGCTGTGGCAGGAGCGTTGGGGTAGGGTGTGTACTGCATAGTTCGACACGAATCCAGCGGGAAGAAAGCGCACACGCATCTCATATACAGGCTCGAATTCCTTCTGGAAGACAAGAAGCAGGAGCCCCAGGAGTTGCTGAACGTCCACAGAGAAGGATCCTCTCTCATCCAGATCAAGAACCCCGAGCAGCACCAGCAGCTGCACGGCAAGTGCAAGGCGGCGTTCCCCACCCACCTGCAGGGGCAGTTCGGGCGGCTGAGGTACAGCCCGGCAGACCCACCTGACTTCCTGAACTAAGAAGGGTTTGAGTTGCTGCTGATATCAGCATTGGACGACATGGAGGAGGAGCAGGGGAGAGAGCTCATAGCAGAAGAAGAGGGCGATCCCTCCTGTTCCGATCTGCTCAAGACGTTCGGGGACACTGTAACCGTGGATGCCCTCCTCCGCAGGGGCACCTGCGTCTGAAAATTCAATCTAGTGACACTTCTGTTAGTGTGACAACTGCGGTTGCGTTTCATGTGGATATTTGGGCCCCTAATGTCACGCCCCGTACCCTACGAAGCGCTAACATCCCTTACCTTGGTCGATTGCAGTGCGACGTCCCAGGAAACGTCGCCGACCCAACGCCCAACAGAGAACAAGCACAAGCGGAAACAATTAAATAAACATCCCTGACAATTATAAAATACGAGCCAAGGATAGCCAAGCAATAAACACGATCACAGCAGAAAATAGGTACATACTTACATTACTATAGAAAACCTTTTTACAATACCCATCAAACAACAAAAGCGAGCAGTACAAACAGTCAACAGCCACTGGGTCAAAAGGGGTAAGTGGCTAGGGTGCTCTTAGAGATCCCAGTCAGGATCTGAGGATTCCGAGGATTCATCCAACTGCTCCTCTGACTCCATATCTGCTGCTCCGTCTCCACAGGGGTGCATGCTCAACGACCGCTGAATGCGATGCGGTATCCCAGAAAGAGGTGGTGACCTCGGCATTCTACGGTTGGGGGTCTGAAATGTTTCGGTTTACACAACCGTGAGACGAATCTCAGTGAGTTCAACCCCTAAACCTAGGCTAGGCTAGCATGCAATCTCCTGACCGGAAATAAACACTCAAAGTATAACACAACAATGATCACACAAGTCTCTGACCCTGCAGGTTAGATAGTTCAACATCTAATAATCACGGCACATACATGGCACACATAGTCACACGTATGCCAAACACATGCTCCTGCACCGAGTCTCACACACTCGCACGCTAATCCATGCATTCTTATGCATGCAAATGTCGTCAGCATGTCATATGCATTTTCCGGCCCACTGGCCCACACTGGCGCACTGGCAATCGCCCGATTTATTATTTATTACGACTCAAGTCGACAATATTCACGGCCCGGTGCGTCTAGCCTGCTTCAAAGTGCATGAGGCGCAGCAACCGATCTGGCCCAGTGTCTCTTGCCTGCTTCAAAGTGCATGAGGCGCAACACTGATCTCCTTACGAACCAGAGCCTGCTTCAAAGTGCATGAGGATGGTCGTCTTCCGGACGTACCGGGCATCGTCCTGCTTCAAAGTGCATGAGGACGGCATCGACCCGAAGGTCATGACCCGAAGGCCCTTAGGTGATCACACAACCCATTATTATCTGAACCCCGCGTAATACGCATCAGGGTATTTTAGGTGATCACATGCTCATGACAGGCACGCAGTCTCACACAATTTCATCACAAGCCTCATTCTCGGCATTCATAATGCGTGCCATGAAATGCAACATGAGCATCCACATAACATAGGCACATGCACACAGTTCAATCAGAGTCATTCCACAGTGCCTAATTCACAAGCCACGTGCTTGCTTTGCCTATTAATACCGTGCGGCCCAATTCCAAATACACAATTCAAGCCATCAATTGGCCAATCACACTCCGCACGATTCAGCCACGCAAGCACGCAATATGGCATTTCACAATTAAACACAATTGATCGCCAATCAATCAATAGCCAATTATTCTGGGTAATCCCGGCCATTCAGCTAATAATTCTTGCTGTCCATTATAATCCGGTACATTCCTCAAAAATATGGACAGCCGCTATTTCCTCAATCCGGGCCCAACAATTATATGTAATAATCCCATTAATTTCCTCGGATTTTATTTCCACCAAACCATCCTCAATACAGTCCGAATTACACACTGATACTACCCAAGCCTGTCCAACATACACCGATAATACCTAAGCCAGTCCAAAAAATCGCACTATCAATCCTAATCCGAGTTTAGGAATTTTACTCACCTAATACAAGGTCACGACGACGGGGAACGGCGGCCTATTGCTGGTGAACAGTAAAACCGACGGCGGAATTCCCGGGGCGACGCGTATGGGACAGCGTGAACAGTGATCGTACGGACGCGATGAACAGTACTCCCGTACGGACACTGTACGGACAGGTGCGACCGGCGTCGTACGGAGAGGCTGGACGGCTGGGTGGTGACGGAACAGCGATCCGAGCTCCTGCGAAGCTCGGGCGGCCCTTTTTGCCGGACGGGAAAGAGAAAAAGAGGGAGAAAGAGAGAGAAAGGGAGAGAGAAAGGGTTGGCCAGGGCAAGGCTGAGGCTGAGGGCGCTGAGGTGGTCCACGGCGGGGCATGGTGGTCGGCGGCGGTGCTCCGGTGGCCGGCGACGAGCTCTGGTGAGCCAAACAAGAGAGGAAAAAGAGAGAAAATGGAGGAGAAAGAGCTGGTGGCGGCTGCTGGGGGTGTTCTGGCCGTCAGTGAGGGTGAGAGGAGAGAGAGAGAGTCTTATCTGGTCAAACATGGCAGCCTAGGGGCGACACGTGTCGCAAATCCGACGGTTTTGACCAAAATACCCCTAATCCAACGGCCGACGTTCGTTCTAGCTAAATAATTGATGGACAATATGGTCTTTAGGTCCAATAATGCAGCTGATAATCCATATTTAATTACCCCAAAATTTTTCCAAAAATTCGGACCCGAAAATAGCCCAGGGGCAAAATCGTCATTTTTCCGGTCCGGGGCGAAATTCCAATTTTTGCACGTACCAACTCTCCATGAGCGTGGCCAACATAATGTGGTGTCGGAATCACGAAATTCATCGCGCAAGCCCTCGAAAATCCACGTCGAAATTTCCGGAATAAAATAATATTATTTATCCAATTTTTTTCCAAATTCCAATTTTTGGCCATAACGACTCCCGGTATGCGTGGCCACCCAAAAATGGCGCCGGCCTCGAAAAATAACCTCATTTGGCCTCGAAAAGCAACGCTGGCGTCCCGAGGGGCAAAATCGTAATTTTTCACCCCTGGACCGAAATTCCAATTTTTACTCGTACTAACTCCAAACGTGTGTGGCCAGCATAATATGACGTCAGATTCCCAAAAATAGTCTCTTAAGCCTTCGAAAATCAACATCGAAATCTGGGCCCAATTTCGTGATCAAAACTCGCTCGAGTTTCAATTTCAGGGTCTCTGGCTAACGGGCGGCTGTTTAGGACATACGCGTATCGACCTAGGGTTATTCGAATTACGACGGTCCCGATCATTGAGAGAATGAGAAATTATCATTAGTTCCAAAGGTCACGATCGTTCGGTTCAGATTCAGGATTGGTTGGCCATGTGCACTTTCAATCTTGCAGAATCACCTGCGATCCGATTGTACATCGTTGGCCTTGGCCAAACCAAATCCATCACCTTTCCTAAGATCGGCCCACGTCGGCCCAAAATATTCACTCATCGTATCTCGAGATCGGTGTCCCGTTCACTGTCGAGTCCCTAGTCCACGTACCGTTTCCTAGTTAGCCATACCCCATTGGTTAGTATCCCGAGAGTGATCAGCTCTGGGCGAGACTTACTAAAATGAAATGCGAAATATTGTCAATTTTATTGATCCCAGAATTATGTCGAAATTCGGGCGGTTACAACTCTTCCCCCCTTACAAAAATTTCGTCCTCGAAATTTGTAATCTATCCTTATCTACTCAAATAACTGGGGGTGTTGACGTCGCATCGCTTCTTCGCTTTCCCACGTGGCACCTTCTGTTCTGTGGTGCTCCCAGACAACTTTGACCATTGGGATTGTCTTGTTTCTCAGCACACGCTCTTTTCTATCATCGATCCTGACTGGTCTTTCCACGTACGATACTTTATCGTCCACGTCTATCTCCTCATATCTTAAAACGTGAGTCGGGTCTGGTTCATATTTTCTTAACATCGACACGTGGAAAACACTGCGTACTTGGAACAAATTAGACGGCAAGGCAAGTCGATAAGCCACATCTCCAATCTTTTCCAAAATTTCAAATGGCCCGACATACCTAGGACTCAGTTTTCCTTTCTTGCCGAACCTAGATAATCCCTTCATAGGCGACACCTTAAGAAACACGTGATCTCCAACCTGAAATTCTAAAGGTCGTCTTCTTCGATTGGCATAACTTTTCTGGCGACTCTGCGCCGTTCTGAGTCTGTCTCGAATGACCTCAACTGCTTGCTGTATTAACTTTGGACCCGTGATACTCCGTTCACCCACTTCATCCCAACACACTGGCGTCCTGCACGCCCTACTATATAAGGCCTCAAATGGTACCATCTGAATGCTCTGCTGATAGCTGTTATTATAGGCAAATTCCACTAAATGCAGCTGTTCTTCCCATTTGCCTTGAAAATCCAACACACAAGCTCTTAGCATGTCCTCAAGGGTCTGGATCGTCCTTTCAGATTGGCCATCCGTCTGGGGATGATAAGTAGTACTAAACTGCAACTTTGCTCCTAAGGCCAATTGCAAGCTTTTCCAAAAGTTGGCCGTAAATCTCGGATCACGATCTGAGGTGATCGTCACTGGTACTCCATGAATACGCACTATTTGCCGCACATATAATTCTGCGTACCTTTCCAGCTCAAAGTCATTTCGCACTGCCAAGAAGTGCGCTGACTTAGTCAGTCGATCTACTATCACCCAAATTGAATCATGTCCTCTCTGATTACGCGGCAATCCCGACACGAAATCCATCGTGACATGTTCCCATTTCCACTCGGGAATCTCTAACGGTCTCAATAAGCCACCTAGCTTGCAGTGCTGTGCCTTCACTTGTTGGCACGTCAAACACTTGGCCATATGCTTGGCCATATTTACTTTCACCCCATTTTTCCGGCAGTGTCACCACAAATCCTAGTACATTTCGTACTGCCCGTGTGAACATCGTAATTACTCTCATGGGTCTCAATATGATTTCTTTCTTACTCCCTACGTCATTGGACACACCTTTGTGCTACTCGGGTGAACCTTATGCTTACTGCGGAAATTTCCATTCAAATTTTTTTTTCCTCGAGTTTTGCCTCATCAGGTACACACAATCATACCTAGAACCTCAAGATTTCTATCCCCGAATATAGGGAAATCCGACTTCCGCTCATCGGTATCCATCTCAACGACTTTTTTGAATCTCGTGATCCACATAATGCCATTCCTTGTTCTGGGCCTAGATTTCCAACTAATCCTCAAGGCGGTC